TTCCCTGTGCCTCGGAGAGAACATACTGGATGCAGCACAATCCTGGGACTGGGGAAGGAGCCATCCACCAGCTCTGTCTTAGTCACAACTGCAAGTTGCAGATATCCTGCCAGGAAAGACATCCCCTCCCTCCAGGGTAGGATAGGCAGGCTCAGGTTTTATCTCTGGCTGTGGCTCTCTCAAGCAGGCATGTTACTGAAGCAGAACAGCAATTCGGATCACAAACAGGAGAACGGTTATAAACCTCTCTGGGGTTGTTAAAGCAGATAAAAGCTCGTTCAACAGGGCTGGAGGAAGCTGAGCCATGCTGGCTCCCTGCAGGCAGGCAGAGCTGCCCTCCTGACTCCCTCTGCACCAGATCAGACAGTCAAACGGGGGCAGCTTTTCCTAAAGCCGTGTCTCATCCCTCTTCTGAAGCACTCAACAGCCGGGATAAGGATACAGCAACAACACTAGAGGGCAGGCCTGGCCCAGCCTGGCTGTCCCAGCGCCCTGCCAGAGACCCTTCCCATTGTCCCCTCAGGAATGGGAGCTCCAGTCCCCACCTGGCTCCCAGCACTCCTGGAACTGCAAGAGGGATGGCTCCTTTGCCCCAGGACACAGGGACAGGGAGGCGGGTGAGGGCATGCACAGGCATGCACACAGGGAGAGCAGGCAGAGATGGGAAAACAAAACAGGTTTCAATAGAGATCTCTTGCTTCAGCAGACCTACATCTCCCCTGCAGGCCCCAGATTCTCCTGCCAGGCCCAGGAAACCCATTTGCTCACACAGAGGAAAGGAGTCGCTTCATTTCAGCATCACCATGATACTAACAAATACCTCTAGCAATAAATAAATAAAGGAAGAGCAGCCTGAAGAGGCACCAGAGCTTGCAGGCTCCTGTGAGTGTACCCTGGCAGGCTGGGGAGGGGCTGCATACCTGGGGGGGATCCCTGCCTGGGGCCCCGGGAAGGTGCTGATGTTCTTTTGCCAGGAGGCTGTCTGGTTTGCATGTGTGAGGGAAAGCTCCCTGAGCCTTTGGTGCAGCCTCTCTCCCAGTGCAGGACGTGGCTGTTTGGCCCTGGCTCCAGGGAACTTGAGCTCGGAGCATTTAAAATGGCGAATTCATCCCCAGCTTGGTTTCAAACTGCAGCTTCTGCCTCTTTTGGTAACGGACCCGGACCCTGGAGAAGGCAGAACAAAGAAGAGAGTCAGCATATGGAGAGGTGAAAGGCAAGCATGGTTGTCCCACTGCCATTCCTGAGCTGCCAGTCCCAAGAAACAGGGAAGCCCTTGGCCTCGTCCCTGTGGTAGCCTGGGAGGGAAATCACAACCAGAAGGCAACCCATGGTCTCAGTCGTTCCCCATCCAGCCAAATCCCATCTTCAGGGACACCCAACACAGCAGAGAAAGGTTCAGAAACCCTTCCACAGGAACAGAGATGGTGTCTCTGTCCCCACCAGGGTTCCCTGTAATCCCTGCTGCTTTTCCTCACCAGCCCATTTCCTGAGTCAACGTTCATTAGCGTTAACTCCCAGCCCTGGCTGCTCCCTGTGCTGGGGAGAACAGCCAGTCACTGCCTGCTACTAATTCTTGGCTTCAGCCACTTCCCCTGAAAACGAGTCCCACAGTCCAGGCACTGTGTGAAGGCCTGTTTCCTCTGCTGGGATTCAATGCCTCTCTGTCCTCATGGGACAAGATGGAGAGAACAGCCCCCTCCAATTCTACATTGGTATTTCATAGACCTTGGCTGTCTCCCTCTCTTTGGTTTGAGACAAGGAAATTTTGGTCTCCCTTCCTGCTCCCAATCACTGCCATTGCCCTTCCCTGACCCTCTTTCCTCTCCTGTGCTTCCTCCCTGAGAGGTGGAACACAATAACCAGGTGATTTACACAATGCAATCATCTTTTCCTTTTTATTCCCCACCCTGTTCCCTGGGCATGATTTTTTTTGCAGCTCAAGGCCAGGCTAGAGTGAGAATCCAGCCCTTTCTCCTCATCTTCCTTACTACCCCCATACCTGATTTCATGCAGCTTGACAATCTCATTGATGATAACCACAAGGACCAAGGAAAGAAAACCCAGGAGCCATGAGACCGGGGAGATGGAAACATGGTTAAAGGTCAAAGAAGAATTGAGGTTTTCCCAGAGTTTCAGGTCCAGCACAGTCTGTGCCACTTGCCCCAGCAATCTAAGATCAAAAACAGACACAGCAAACCTCAGCAGAGCTCACAAGCTTCCCAGGATCTGCAGATCAGGGTTCAGGCTGAAATGCTCACAACAGAGACCCTTCACCAGTTCAGCAGTGGATATCAATTGCTGTCTCTTCAGCACCAGCAAACTGGTGCTGGAGCTGAGCTAGAGCCCTGCTTGCTCCAGCATTCTGGAATGCCTCATCAGGGCCTGGGGATACTCACACAACAGCCACAGTGAGCGTCCACCAGCGGTTGGAGAGGGGGCTCTTCTTCCACAGGGGTTTGGTGCGATGGACGTGGGTGATGGATATGAACACTGCAGGGAAAGGGGGGTTATTGGCATCACACACAGACACTTCACAACACACACAACAGCTGTAACTCCAAAGGGATATGGGGCTTATGGCCCTTTCATTCAAGGCCCTTTCAGATCAGGCTCCCCACAGCAATTCCAAGTCCCCGGATACGTGGTGGGGAGCAGTGGTCGTCCTGCACAGGGTTACTCCCTGTGAGGTTGGTTCACAGCCTGGCAAGGTAAAACAGAGCAGGCAAAGGCCCAGACCTGGGGACTGGGGCAGGGGTGGGTGTGCCCTTGTTTCTGGGTCACTGCAGGCCTGCACCAGAGGAAAGCTCCAGCCCAGAGACATATTTAGCCAGAGACCCAGACCTATCTGCACAGGAATGAACATTTAAACCGCTGCCAGGCTAAGCAGCCCTGCCTTGCCTCAGTGGTCTGAGGGACATAAAACAGTACTGCCCACTCCCTCTCTCCAAAGTTGGGCTGCCTCTCAAACCAGAAGGCATTTCTGCTCACCTGGACACCTGCACATCTCAACACCCAGTGCTCTGCCCAGCACCAAGGCACAGCACCACAGGACACGGACAGGGAGCAGAGACCCTTTAGGGTTGTCAGGGAGCAGCTGGACCTACTCTACCAGGCCATGGTGTGCAGGTGATGAGGGTCAGGCAGGACATGGCTCCACGCCCCTCCAGAGGGTTTAAAAAGGCTTCCAGCTCCCAAACAGCCACAGCTTGTACCAGTGCTCTTTGGGGGGTGGAAATAGGGTGCTTCACAAAATGGCAGCAGGGATATAAGGACTTCTGAGGCAAGGAACATTTTTGGAGAGCTACAGGTGCTGCTACTGATTTGCAAGAAGGCAAAGAGGGATACTGCTCTTCTGGTGAGACTGGAAAGGAATCAGCACTTTAGCAGGCTGGTAGGAAACAGAATTAGCTCTGAGTGTGTTGGTTTTAATCTGTCAGGGCAATGTTTAGTGAGACTGGGTCTGTGCTGAGAGACCATTGCAGTGTCTCCTTCTACCAGGGAGTTTGTGCTCTCAGACAAAGGGCAAAGAAGGAGGCAAAGGATGCAAGTTTTTCCCCAGAGTAGGAAATGGTGTTCTGGGAATTAGGATTTACCTGTGTGTAAAACAATCAGGCCAGCTGTGAGCTTCTGGGCTACAAGAAGAGCATTGGAAAACGTCCCAAACCAGTCAGGAGCACCATCAGCATTGCTAGTGAATGAGAGGACACAGAAAAGAAGTCAACAGTGGGGACTTACTGTCTGACCTGCTCCCACCAGGGCCAGGTCCTTCTCTAACAGCTGAGAGAACTAAGTGTGAGCTCAGAGTCAGGCTGTCCTGGTACCAGGAGGTGACAGTGAGCAATGCAATTGTCAAGGCTACAGGGAGAGCACCCAGCCCTCTGTGTAGCCATTTTTGCTGGGAAGAGGCTGAAGCTTGTTACAGGGGAATCAGTTCTACCTGGAAGGGCAAGAGTAAGAGGGGTGTGTGCCAGGCTCAGTTCCTCACCTGTGCAGCATGATGGAGGAGCAGGCTGTGAGATTGAGGCTGGTGGTGTTCACCTCTTTGCAGGACTCATGCAGTGTGAACCCAAAGCAGATGAGGCAGGAGCAGATGGTCAGGCTGAATTTCAGCAGGAAGCAGAACAGGAAGTAGTGCTGAGTCTGTGAATAAGGGAGAGGAAGGAGGATGACACGGGCATGTCACTGGCACAACCTCCTCTCCATGAACCATCAGAGAATCAGTGGCTGCAAAAGACAAGCTGTAGTTCAGATGAGATGCTGCACTGTGGATCTGCCCTGTGGGTATGCTGGCACTAAGGAATTCCCTTCCTGGCTCATGCCACGGATCAATTTACCAAGCGAGCTGGAAAGGCACAGGGCCTCAGTTATGCATCAATATTGGGACAAAACAGAACAGAAAAATGTGTGAACAACTAAAATCTGATGGGCCACCTACCTTCTTGGGAATGGAAGTCAAGTTTTTTCCTGTTGCCATGGTCATGATGGAGCTGTGAGGAGGCTTGCCCAGGAGCGAGATACTGGAGAAAGGTAAGTTAGTCTTTCAGTAACATGTTCAGGCACCAGAACTATTCCATTTTTGTCTGTATCTATCATTTGAACCCAAATAACCTCCTCAGATTGCTTGAACCACTAGCACTTATCTGGCCACTGCCTTAAGTATATGCTGTAAAAGGTGTTATTCATGGTAGGTGCAGACAGGGAGAGAGGTGACCTCTAAATGTGTGATGGGGAAAAATCCACCCATGGTACCTTTCCTCCACCTGACACCCCAGGCTTTCCATCATACTCCAGCCAGTGAAGGATTAGATGATTTTCAGCTGGAGGTTCAAGCCCCAAGATAACAGCAGCTCTCACACAGCTGTCAGGGTTAACACAGCAGTACACAAACGCTCCTGTGGCTGTTTCCAAGCACCTTGTCAAGGCAGGTGCTTGGAATAATCCTTGCAGCCTTCTTGGCATGCTGTGGGTGAAGTCAGCTTTCTTCTAACATGGACACAGTGAGACTGAGGGACTGGTCTGTGCATCCTGTGCGTGGGTGGGAGGAGATTCCACCCTGATAGACTCACCTGAGCAGTGGGTAGCAGAAACAGGAGAGCCACACGATGTCTGTGGTGCTGAGGATGGGGGGCAGCTGCACCAGGCAGGAGAGGAACTGGACAGAAACAATTCAGAGTGAAGAGTGTGAGCAGTGGTAGGAGAGGCTTGTTACCCAAGATGCTCCTGACTTCCCCCAAAACACTGGGATGAGCTGATAACTAGGCTGCCACTGCACAGCCCCTCCACACGTTGCAGGGGGGTGCTTTTCTCCAGGGAAAAAGGGTTTGAAAAGAAACCCCCATGAGGGTCAGGGAGAAGGGGCAGGCTGAGATCACATAGTCTCTATTTGTAATTCCACCAAACCTGACTGAAGGCCACGTTCCTCTCCTGAGGCTGCCCCACTGCAGCCACCCATATACATGCTCACACTCCTGTCCTCTGAGCTAAATGCTGTCCCCAGCCAGGCCAGGACTCACCTGAATGACAACCAAGGTCAGCTGGCACTGCAGCAGGAAGAGGAAGCACTTGCGGATCCCGTACGTCGCATGCCTGGCCTGGAAGGAAGAACAAGCCCTCAGAGCCCTCCAAGTGCTGGAGCAGCTGTCAGCCAGGAGCAGTTATTGGCAGGCAGGGGCAGGACATGTGGCCCGCAGGGGAAGTGGGAAGGGAGAGGATCTGGACACATTGAAAGCAAAAAGGGAACGTCTCTTGCCTGGATGTAGAGGTTATGAAGAAAAAGGCAGAATTTTACCAAGGGGTAAATCTGTTTAAACTCATGGCTTTTCTGGGGTTACACTTCTCCCTAATCATGCGTTGTTGTCTGGCTCTCTAGGGATCTCTGTAAGATTATATTCCATCCAGGTGAACAATAATCACGTTCTTTTGCCACAAGGCACCATTCCCAAACCACCCCCTACACCTTGAACCAGTAAAGCCAGGCAGGAAGATTCTCTGTTGGGCTTTCTGAGCAAAGGACAGGAGACACAAGAAAACCTAGTGCTGGAAGCTTTCTATGGGCACCTCAAGGAGAATGCTCACGTCAGCTCCTGGGCTCTGCTCCCTGTGGGTCCTGGAGAGGAGATGTGCCTGGCTCACCTGCTCTATCAGCCTGATGATGCTGGTACTCTCTTCTTGGCGGAAGGACATGGAGCAGGGCAGGCTGTTGAGCTGCCCTGAGAGCTGCAGGGGGGTGAGCTCATCAGAGACGTTGGTCAGGGTGGTGCTGGTGGCATAGCCAAAGGTCTCCCAGGAGCAGCGAGATGGGTAGAGAGGGTCCAGTGCTATACTGCAAGGACAACACAGGAGCATCAGTCCTCATCCCAGAGGAGAAACCACATTTCACTGCAGTCCAGCTTGTAAAGTCACAGTGTGTTGTGCCACGCTACCTCTGTCTACCTTGCTTGTAGAGAAGCCTGGAGCTATTACATTAATTTAGAATCAATGCCCCTAAACTTTCAGTTATTCTTAAAGAAATAATCAACATATTTGGGTTTGTGGCACAAGGTCAACAAATTGGCTGATCCAGAGGGGTATTTCCACTCTTTCACCCAATGGGAAGCATCTGTAATGCCAGTTTCTTCCTTTTAAAGACAGAGAAAAATCTCTCTCTGCGTCAAGGGACCTAAGTAGTCATCCCATCCAGACCTCCCTTATGGAGACAAATGCAGCTAATAATGGACAGAGAAACTGTGAGGATCCCCCTGCACAATCCACAGGTGTGGTGTGACCTATGGCTGGGCACTCACTAAGATCAAGGCAAAGGCAGCCAGAGGAGGAATAGATCCTGCCTCACCTGATATCACTTTGCAGGAAGAGGCAGCTGTTCCGAAGGTTGGCAGAGCTTCCCAGACAGCAAGTCACCTCCCCATACTCCTGCATGATCTTGATCATCTCACACATGGCTGCCAAGGGACAGAAGGAGGAACACAGTGTGTCATGTCATGCACACAAAGATGCAGTGTTTCACACACTCCTTCCACTCTGGATAACAGGCAGTCAGATCTTTTAAAATTGCCCCAGCTGCCAGTCATATACAGTGAGATCCACAAAGATATCCAATAAGATAGGTAACTAACTGCAGACCAGGTGCTCTGCCACTGCAGGGACAGAGCTGTGGTTCACAGAACTCTGACCCAGAGATTTGCATCTCCAGCACATTTCTTTCAGACTAGAGCTGGTGCATAAGACAGCTTCAGCATCAAATACTCTTGTTAGAAAACAGAAGAAATGAAATAAACCTAAAATAAATACAGCATTTCAAACTCTGCTCAGCAGCACGTCAATACTGTTCTTCCAAGTCTAAAGGAACAGAGGGAATATAGCAAACCACTCCAAAAGCAGTGCCACACTTAGCCATACTCAGAGCCAGTCCCTGTTCCTGCACTCCCACCCACCACCACCTCTAGCCTTCATCAATATGTTTATCAACACCCCTCAGGGCCTCTAAATCAAAGCTGCTGTTTGATCTGATTTTTATTCTGTAGCTCCATGCACAGTGCTCTGTGTATATATGGATTTTCTGGAATGCTCCAGGCAAAAAAACCTCAAGCCTCCCCTCCACAGATTCCTGTGTAAACAACTTATCTAAATGCCTGGTGCACACAGATCTGCAGCCCAGTGAGGGGCTGGGTTGAGTGGAGAACTGCCACTTCTGTCAAAAAGAGAGAGGAAATTTGGGCACAAAGTGGGCTGTGACTGGTACACTGTAAACTGTGGCCAGAGGTTCTGAAATGCCAGATCATAAAGATGCTTCACACTTTTGCTGGAGACTGGGCAGGTGTTAGCCAGCAGAGCACTCAGCCCCTTTCTTAGACAATGTAGTGCCTCAGAGAGGGAAAAAATTTTTGCCCTTTCTGGTTTTCTGTAATCAAAAACTCTGCAAAGCAGCAGAAGGTGTTAACAGCAATTGCCAGGGGAAAATTCTTCTGGGAAGTGATTTCTGAGTTATATAAGGCAGTGAGGGTTGTGAGCAGAGATCAAAGTCTCCTGGTGCACTCATAATACTTATTTAATAAAAGGCAGTAGCATTTTGAATGTTTGCTTTTGTGTCTCTTACGAATGCAAATTGAAGGGAGTGGTTCTTAGCCCAATTCAGTAGATGGGGACTAAAATGAAGTTAACACCTGGCTTCCCACAGGTAGCCACAGGGTCATTAATACCAGTATAGACTTGTGGAACGTATCCCCTTCCCTTCACCTGTGTGCACACTGGGATGAGCCAGAGCAAATAGCTGGGGAAGGTATTCATGGGACTCACGCTCTGTGCCACTTACTCTCTGGGGTGCAGTCTGTGAAGAGAGGCACCAGCAAAGGCACATTGTCAATGTTCTGCAGGTGAGGTCTCACCTGGTGGATCCCCCGAGGGAGTTTGGCCTGGAAAAGAGAAAGGAGAGATTAAGCAGGGCAGTAGTGTGTGTGTGAAGGAGAGGCATTTCAGAGCAAACTGCTGAAATGGAAGTGATGATTCCTAGAATTATGCAACTGCTAGATCAGATACAAATTCATGTCCCTGTAGATAGAACTGGCTGTCCCGAGCCACTGTCAAAGGTGTTTTGTTAAAAGTTCTACACTGAAATGCAAGCTGTTTGTGCTTGTTTGTAAGGTTAGTGTGACAAAACTGCGCTCAAGGATTTCTAAGGGCTTTTTACCTGTGTGGAGAGTCTAGTCAGACACATGTGCTGTCTCCCAGCAACAAGATCTATTTCAATTGCAGCCATATCAACATTGCAGCAAGGGAAGAAGGGTTCTTGCCTTCTGAAACCAGACCTAATAGATTTTTTTTTTAACTTGGATCTATCTCTGATATTCCTCTAACCTCTGCTGAGCATGAGGTTTTTATGAGGCAGGAAGAGCTTGTCCCACACTGACCACTGGGCAGCACCAGCCATGGCTCACAGCTGGAGGAGAGACAGTTTCCTTTGTCTGCACGGAATGTGGGGATGTTCCCACTCCCTGCCCAGCCCATGGGAAGGGGACCCAGAGGAAATGAGATGCAGGCTACTCTGTGTGTGGTAATCCCCACTCCTAAATGCCAAAGCAAAGAGCTGTTCAGCAGAAGTGACTAGGGGAGAGAATCCCAAACTTCCCAGGCTCTAGATACCAAGCTGGAAGAGGCTGGGGGAAATCAGGAGTCCCAGTGTAAACCTGTCTATGTGCTTTGAAGAATTCCCTTTGGGAGTAATGAGGTGATACTGCTGACCATGACAAGAGTACAAGGTGCACAGGGAAAGGGCCCTCACCCTGTTACAGTCCTCCAGGAAGCTGGGGATATCACTGTCTGTTGGCTGAAAGCTGATGAGATCCGAGTGCCCTTCCTCTTCCATGAGCAGAAGCCCCTCCACGTCATCTCGAGAAACTGGAGCAGAGAGAAGCAGCATAAACAATAAGCACCAACCTGCCTCTGCCGCCCCTGTGCCACCCACATGGGATATTCACATGGCACTGCAGAAGCCAGGAAACGTGAGGCCTGATTTTCTAGGTTAGCAACACTTAGATCTCCCACTCAGTCATCTAAAATGCTGTATTTTTAGGTGACTAATCTGTTCAGAGATAGATATGTGAGCCTAGTCTCTGCTCTTTTAAGACATGATAGTTTATCTGTTCTGCTGTCCTTCTAGGGGAAGAGAGTAAAGAAATCCCACCTGAAGTAAGAAAAAAAAGTAATGCACAGGCAAGAAACCCTCAGTGGCTTGACCAGGACCCCAAAAAGAACCAAAAGCCCTGATGAGCAGTTGTAAATTCATGGCAGCTGGTGCACAGCTGGCTGTCTGTTTCCAACAACTGTGGTACTGGCTGGGTAGAAAGTCTATAAATGTAACGAGCTCTTGCTCACATGCACACCTCAGGCCCTTCCAGTTTTGTGCTCAAAGCTCTGAAGGATCAGGTGCCTGGTGTAGACACAGGAACCTATGAATGGGTTTAAAAGAACCCTCCAGGAAACACATGGCATTCAAAGTGGCCCAGGAGCAGTTCTCACCCTGGTGCAGGTCATCGTGCAGGGAACCAGCGTGGCTGGGGCTGGAGGGAGGGATTTCTGAGCCAGGCACGTCACCGTTGGGTGTTAAGGATATGTGGCAATTCCAGCCGGTCTCCAGACCCATCTTCTCAGCAAACACCTGTGGATGAGCAGACAAAGGGTTTTAGTGTGGCTGCCCAGGCCAGAGTACTGCAGACCAATGCCATATTGGAGCCCAGGTACCTTCTGGGCTCATTAGTGAGCTGAATCTGATTAACCTTGGATTGCACTGGAGTTAAACTCTCCAGTCAGACAACCAGGGGCCATGCAAGTTCAGGGGGTTAAGCAGAGACAGCTTACCTTGCTTTTGAGCTCATCCTCCAGGGAGAAGTAGACAAAACGGATGCAGGCATTGACCAGTCCATCAATGAGGCGGACAATGTCAAGACGGGCCTGATACTGAGATGAGACCATTCCCATGAAGATCTGTCCACTCAGAGCCTGGATACAGTCTTCCTTCTCCATCACTTCCCCAATCCCTTCTTCAGGCATGCAAACAACACGCAATCACATTGAGACATGAGGGGCCACATGTGCATCAGACAAAGTACATGTGGTGGGGAGGCCACCGAGGTAACACCCAAGGGCACAGGAACGTGCAGAAACACACACACAGGAGGAAGGAGACATCCATTTGTCCCAGCATACCCAGTCACAGCAGCAGTTTCAGGACATCCCCACATATGTGACCAAGAATACAAGCGGGAAACAGCAAGTGTGGAAAGGAAAAAGACAAAACAGAAGGCAGGGATCAGTCACAAGGAATTTGGGCAGAAAGGTAAAGGGTGTGTGCTGCATAATGTTCACATGTGCATTTTAAACACATCCTACTGTGCTTAAACAACATGGTGAGTCTAGTTGAGGCAGAGTGGCATCAGAGCACCCGGGGCTGATGCAAAGGAACCGGATCATGTCCCTTCCATTGACACCACAGACACTCCCAGAGACCCTGCAAAGGCTCTTTGACAGGGTTCCTTCACCATCACCACATTGGCCTGCGGTGACTGGGAGCTGGAAGCAGCATGAGGAACAAAATAATAAAACACTTCACACAGTCACAAAACTTGCCACAGGTGGGACTGGAAAGTGTTGTGAAAACACTCAGTCACAGCTGTCCCCAGCTGTTGGAAAGCCCACTGGTCACATTTTACAGAATGGGGGACCAAGGCAGAGAAAGATTAAGACTGGCTTCCCAAAAGAGCCTCCTGGATTTATGTAATGGTATGTGCTTATTTCTCAGTTTCCACTGCTGTTCTGGACGAGATGTACAGTTCATCTACTGGGAATCAGTTCCTTCAGCACAGAATTAAAATCCATCAAGGGAGAATAGTCACATACCACCACACGTTTCATTCCTTTGAAAAACCCAACACATGTGATTTCCACAAAATTAGATAAAGAGCAAACCAAATATCAAAATAGCCACAAGTCTTGACTCTCAGTAGCCAGCTTTAGAAACAGACTTCCCACAAGGAGAAGAATTTCTCTGCAAGCTTCAACAACATAACTAGAAATACACCTACCAGCTGCTACATCGCTACTTCCTCTGGAAATGCAATTCAGAAACCCTTCCTTCTCAATTTCCATCTGCTACTCTGAATAACAGTGTTCTTACAGCTCTAGACTGATCAGATCAAGCACCTGGCCCAGCAGCAGACCTTATTATAGACAGGACTGGGGACACACATACCATCTGAGCTCCAGCTATTCCTCCTGCTGCTCTGTTTGATGGGGGTTGTCCCAGGGAGGTCACAGCACGTGAAGATAGCACTCTGCCCCGGGACCTGCACCAGCTCTATGCACTTCCCATTGAGCTGGGAGGACAAGGCACAATGCATTGGCTTGTATGCAAAGGCAGAGCAGTATCCTGACAGGCAGGCTCGCTGGTAGAAATCCAACACCTTCTTCCTACGTGGAACAGACAAAAAGCAGGCAAGATTAGCAAAAATGTGCCACATGCCTGACAATGTGCACTGCAGTTACGTGTATTTTCGAAAGATGTCTTCCATGAGGAGTGGTCAGAGTCTGAATAAGCCTTTCCCTACTGTTTCTGCATTCTCCAAGCTGCAGGCACTACAGGACAACAAAAGCACATATTCCATCAGGGCAGTGGTGAACGTTTGCTGGTCAGATTGATGAGTATGAACACAGTGCTCCTTCAGTACACTTATTAACGTGATATGCTCTATATGGCTGCCACGTGACTCCAAGGAAGTTCCCTGCGTGACAGCAGAAGCTTAATTCATCAGAGATAATTTATCTGTGGGGACATAAACACCAAGGAGGGAACTGACAACTCTGACAATAGTATCTATGGCACAGATAGTTGCATAACAGACTTTTCTCCTATCCCCTTTCAGAGTTTGGGTCCCAGAAGCTGTAACTGAAGTTTCCGTTTGGTCACTATTCAGTCACTAGAACAAGGCAAAGTTCTTTCTCTAAGCTGAAAACACAAAGGTAAAAAATTAGACTATACATTGGATTTTTCATTGGCTTCTAAGATGATAAATATTCCAAAAAGGATCAGTGGGAGTTTTCTTACACCTGAGACTTAGAAGAACAGTGTGCTGCTAGTCAGTGAAACTAAACATTACTGGTTTGCTCTGCTAGCAGGGACAGAGATTCAGCCTATAGATGGAAATGCAGTAGACACTATCAGATATTGCAGCAAGACTCAAAGGGTGTGATGCATTGTGTAGATTGGCTCAGGCAGAACTGATCATTTTGCATTTAATTTAAGACAAGACACTAGTCTTGAACAACAACAAAAAATTCTCTGCCACCAGCATGACCTGATTGTAATTCATGGCCCTGCTGCATCATGCAGTCAGAATCCACTTACAAGAGGCCAATATCTTTAACAGATACAGTAAGAAGTGGCTTGCTCTTACAGTTCAACTGAGTGCTTGTTGCTATCTAATCTCTTAAATTGCTTTTTATAATTGTAATGATAACAATTAATCATAAGCAGAGATAGCTCATGTTCATAACCTACAGGAAGCTCTTCTTAAACAGCTTAACAAGCACCATAAAGGGAATTTTAGCAGAGTGACCAGGTTCCCTCTGTAATTTATCTGAAGCTCCTGAATGTACCAAATGAGGAAGTTTCCCACCTGTCAGAGCCAGAGAGGGGGTAGATATCTGTGCCATCCCAAAAGTCTGTGCAGGCCTCGAGGATGATGTCAGCTGTCCCATGGGAAAACATCTGCTCAGTGCCTGAAGTGCAGGAGAACAATGAGTCAGCATCACACATACAGGCTTCCAGGAAAGGGATTTCACACCAACTGCTCCCTTATTTGTTAAAGGTGATTGTTCCCACAAACTGCTCTGAGGCACCCCAGATATCCCCTTTCCTTTGCTGAAAGTCTTCTGTCTCCATTAAGAAATAGCTCAAGGATGATGATACACCTGCAGCTGCTCTTTGTCTAACTGTGGGTTCAAACAAGGCTGTGATAAAATGTGAGCCATGTGGTCCCTTCCTATTCTCCTGTTACAATGTGTATCAATCCTGCTCCTACAAAGGTGTGATAATATCTTGCTCCTGTATCCAACAGAGCAGAAGGAGAGATATTCCTGTGAGCCTCTTCTGAAGAAAGTACAAGCAGCAGTGATGAGCCTACAGGGATCAAAGTCAGCCTACGCTGGAAAGTGCATTCATTTTTAGGCCAGACGTAGAACTGAAGGGTAAGAGCTATTCTTGAATACTTTTCATTCAAGCAGCAGAAGATAATTTGACAGTGTGACCTGTCAGATAGCAGCCTGTTTCACAAAAGGTCATGAAAACGTGTTAAATCAGGATGAGTCAAAAGTTCAACATAACAGACTCTAAAAAAGTAACTCATGTTGTGATTAGGGAAGAACTAAAAATCAGTGGACACCACAGCTTGCCCTGGTTTTTTTTATTTCCCTACTTTACTCTTTAATATAGACTTTAAATCTCTTGTTCCCTCTTGTAGACAGAGGTGTTAAAAAGTTTTTCTTGAAGGTGTGTGATATCACTTGTCTGATGCAGGTCCCAGGCACAGGACACCAGTTAGGGGATGTGGGGCTGCCCCCCATCCACAGCTCCTGCTCCCTCTCATTTGCATCAGCATATTAACATTGCACTCACGCAGACCTCTCTGTCTACGTTCCCTCCTCCAGCTGCTCTGTGACTTTGCCCCCAACAGCTTCAAAGCTGAGCTAATGAAAAAAAAAATCACTGCCAAGAAAAATGAGCCCAGAGGCTTCTTGCAGGCATTGTTGCTGACTGCTAATGCTCACACTGGCTGAAATCAAGAGCCAAGAATATCCACTTGCACAAACCAGGCAGGGACCTTCAGGAACACCAGAGGATTTTCCAAAACATAGCAGCTCTCTGCTTTCTGCTATAAATAGTCAACACATGCCAAGTTTATCAGCATAACAAACCTCCGAGAGGAATAGGGGCTGTGTGTGAAAGAAGGAACCTGTCTCAGGGACACAAAGGAGTACTTGTGCAGAGCTCTGGTTAATTTTATTGTATAAACACCTAATCCTTCCCACCTTGCTCCTAAGGTCAGATAGTCCTTGCTAGGAAAGAGGTAACAAGAGATGTTTATTGATCCATGCAAAACCTATGTCCTGGACAGAGCTTGCAGATGACCACACACACACTGATGTACCCACGTTCGTGCCTGACAGCAATTGCAATCCACTTCCCATTCAATCCCATCAGCATCCCACACCACAATCCTGCTAAGGAGTAAGTGGCAGTGACAGCACACATTATGAACTAGAAGGAGTTCATTGCCAGTAAAGTGAGCTCAGCCTCTTCCCTGCCCAAATCGTGGACTTGAAGGCCAGGATTTCTCTGGCAAAAGGGAAAAAACTAATGAATGAGGCAGGGAGTATGAGCAGCCATTCATGGCTGCTGGGACTCGTTAGGAAGGACCAAACCACTGCAGCTGAGCCAGTGAGGCAGAGCAAGAGGAATCGAGGAGTGAGGCTACAGCAAAGGGAGACAGAGACGGTGGAAGATGCCGGTGAGCCCCTCATTTCCATGTGGTTACTATGGATTTGGGATGAACACTGCCAGATGGTGAGACACGTATTTCAATGGAATGGCAAGGGAACATACAGATAGTCTGCCTCCTATTTCTGCTACAGCTGTAGAATTTATTATGCGTTTCCCTTTGACTGCAGCCTGTCGTGGGAGTGGGTGGATTCAAAGATTTATTCACAAATAAGGTATCAAGAGAGGTTAGTTATGATCATCTGGTCTGACCTCTGCATAAGCAGAGCCATTTTAATTTCAGCCAATGTTTTCTGCACAGTCCAGTATTTCTGGTTCTAAAATGGTAATATTTTAGAAAGCTTCAAGTGACAAGACTATTGTGTGAGAGGTGTGCAGTGGTTAACTAACCCCAGCTGGCAAAATTCCTCTTAGAATTTACTCTAGACAGCATAATCCAGGTCACACATATTCGTCTGAGCTCCAGCCTCTAAACTAAACCGTTTAAAAGTGAGGATAAGGAGTTGAAATGAGGCAACATTAAAGGTTTTTTCCCTACACTAAGAATCTCAGCATCAAAATAATTCCTGTTCACAAAGGCAAGATAGCAGTAATCAGAACAAATTAAAAAGTTCCTCTTCAGATAAAGATATAAATTTAAGCAGAATTAGGCAAGAGAAGACAGTTAACCTGGTAAAACTCTGGCCAGCATAATGATCATATTTCAGATTCAATATTGAACATATGTCAGCTCCAGAGAGCCAAGTTCAGTCAATTTAAGGAATTACAAAGAGCCTAAGAGCTCTGACAGGCAAGCTGTTAAATCTTGCTGAGGTGCTTTAAGACCTCACGGTGCCCAGCTGCACATCCTTTCCATCCCAGCCCATTCCTACAGGAATAGGAAGTAGTAGAAGGAGTGGAGAAGTCAGTGTGGCTTCAGGTGTTGTATTCATGGTCACTATGAGTTTGCATGGGATTTATGAGATTTCTTATTAGTGTGCAATATAGGAGCATGCAATATAATACACTAGACAACTCACAAAGATTATGATTTGAGTTATCAGAAGGATGACCATCACTAACTAAAACCCTGAGTAATATTCAACCCTGTGCAGTATCAGTTTCACTACCATCATGAAGTCTGTTAAAAAGCCAATAAACCCACACCTTGCTCTGCTCTGCCACTTGGTCCCAGAAATGAGGCCTACTATGTGCTAAGATAATTTAAAAAAATTATTTATGATTCTGGAGTGAGTCAAAGCTGGGAAGGATTCCCCCCCTCAGTATGCCACAGCTGATCACTAAGGTTTGTTGAGCATATCTGTGCTGGCCGTGGGCAGAGCAGGGCTATCACCCCACTCCAGACTCTTCCAGCATGACATTTTCCAGGCTCTCTTCAGAAAAGATCCCCCCATTTCAAGTGGATGCCCAAAGAAAGGGGCAGCCTTACTGGTAGTGGTGTCCTTCACAAACAGGTTAATCATGTGGCTCAGGGGGGGTCTCCTCTTGGTGATGGACGAAAGCTTCCCCAGGATTGTTTCCTTAACCATCTCATCACTTGGCAGGCGGTACAAGGCCAAATAGTTCTCCTGCTTGAAGAGATCTTTAGCACCTGGTGTGAAACCTGAAACATGAACACAAGGAGGAGAAAAATTAGGCTCAAACCAAAGCAAAAGAAAGGTCCCTTCTCCTGCTTCCGTGCCACCCACTTTGCCTGTGCTCATTGTGACATCTCTCCAGGAACTGGTAGGTAAGCTGTGCTCTCTGTGCATCTACAGAAAGATGGCTCAAGATCTGTGGTTAAAAAAATTCAGAAGGACGGGATGTTATTAGTAATTACAGTGTTCATGCTTCTGGTTCCCTGAAGAGAGAAACTGTAACATGGAAGGACAGGCACAGAAGTGAGTTCAAGTTTTCAGATTTTAATCCTAGTGTTACCTCTAACCTCTTATCTCTCCTGTGCCTTAGTTTTCCAATCTATAAAATGAGCTGAGGTACCTCACATCATTTATCCCCAAACTCCCTGTAAGGCCTTACAGTAAAGACAGGGCAGATAGCTGTTCATTAGCAGGTATTCTTTGTCTCCTGATGAGATTGGCAGACTCGGGCCAGAAGGATACCAAGCCTAGCCAGGGCTGGCTGGCAATATCCTTGATGACATTCATTCCTTTGATAGTGTTGACAATGTCAGAACTCGCCAAAAGCAATCTCTTTAATAGACTCTTTTGGCAACTGAACAACAGCAGAGTCAGCTCTGTATTTCCACCTTCTCAGCAGCCAGGACCGGGGAAATATTCTTGTGCTCTCTAAGGATTAAGTGTCTATTGACAGCTCTGATTTCTCTGCGTCTGCTCATCCAATTTCTCCTCACCTATGAGCCTGGCAAGCTCACAGAGGCCCCAGGGCACGTGGACAGGCAGCACAGCGTTGTGTGTTTCCTGGAGGGCGATGTTGCAGAGGTGGTCAGAGAAGCGGCACAGCCGCTCTGTCACGCTGGCGTTGCAGAGGTTGAGCAGCACGTTCAGGCCCAGGGGCTTCAGGGAATTCAGGTGCATGTGCCAGTTGGAGTCATCAAACTGGATGCAGGAGGGGTTCTGCTGGTCTTGGGACAGGCTCAGCATCTCCAGGTGGTAGTCACACACGAAGTCTTCGGCCTCACAAGCCAACACCTCGCTGTCCCCAACAACCTGGTCCAACAGACAGGGAAATTCCAGTTGGTTACAGAGAATACAGCTTGAGCCCAGAATCCTGCAAGGAATTCCCAGGTAAATTCCCCAGAAGTGGGAACTCCATGGGTTTGAGTCTGTCTTACAGCTCCACAAAAGCCTACTTGTGTGCCCCTCCAGTATGTCTTACCTGAGTGTGTTCCTCCTCTCCACCCTCCGTGTCCTTGCTAAAGCTCACATTGGATCCAGAGGGATGTTTGCTTCTGCTGTTTGGCTTTCGGTGGGCAAGGCCATCGGGAGGCTTTGGAGGATCACTAGACCAGTTGTTCCTCTCTTGTTCATTGGCCATGTGGACTGTGTCTGCCAAGGGCCCAGAGAGCAAAGCATCTCTTTCATGGGGCTGCAAGAGACCAACAAAACAAATGGTGATTCAGCAGCTGAATCCCAGCCACTGCTGATTCACCTGCTGCTTCAGGACTCCTGTACAAGAGGATCTCATCCTTGCTGCTTCTTCATATTTTAGGCAAAGAATTATGGCACATTCACCTCATCTTCCATCTCAGGATGGCAGAAGGACCGTGTAGAGAGCTCATCAGTCAGATCTTCATGGCTATCATGAGGTGGTTCCACCTTCCCACTGAAGAACAGAACAGTCTCTGGGCTGGGGTTTGGCCACGAAAGAATCCCCTGCTTGTCTACACAGCAGAGCACCTGGAACATCCCACGACACCCCCAAAGAAGCAAAATCTCAGTGAAAATGTGTCTCAGTGTTCAGGCATAGCTGTAAATATCATGAGTTTAATAAACACATGGGAGGACAGACAAGTCTCTTCTTCCCCAGCCTTCTGTCTTAAGAAACTGCACCTAATAAGACTCCAAGAAATCCAAGAATTCCTTGCTCTAACAGGATTGATGGGTAGTTTAACACCAATTTTATCTCAGGATATTACAAAACTAGGCATGAAGACCAAGGGAAGGAAGCAACTACTCAACCTGTTTCACCAGCTAGTACCTTACCAGGACCCAAACTAGCTGGTTCTTGAACAGGGGTCAAGAAGGTAATGGGACCAGAACCAGAGCTGGAAAACACAGAGCCTGACAGATCTCACAGAGTATCTCTAACCATTGTTTTAGCCTGTAAATGTGCTGCTTGGACATGATAAGACAGTTATAAACTCTTCTACACAGACAGGTGCCTGAAGGGTTTCTAATTCCAGCACAGTGAGCTGATTGCTAACAGTCTGTGCTCAGGGAAGGACGACATGAACAGTGAAAATGAAGCATCCACATAGAGCTCCTCTTTCTGACAACCCAGCAGTACTCACAGTGACAGATCCCAGACTGTGGAGCAAGCTGGAAGTGAAGCTCAGAGTTGGGGATTTGCCTTTTAAAACACAGAGGAAGTGACTCCAGATACAGCGGATCATTTCCTGACGAGGGAAGCAGAGGACATCAGCCAATTAAAGACTCATTCCGTGAAAGATGAAGGGAGAGAAGGAAAAAAGGGAGTATGACATTACCTGCTTTCAGTTTCAACACAGTGATACACTGCAAGATAAACATCAGTCTCTGTGGGAACCTGTTACCTGATACAGTGCTGATGTCCCCAAGGGAAAAGCATTCCTTCCCCCTTCCACAGAACACTAACAGACAGTTCGATTGTTGAATTGAGAACTCACTGAAACTACCTCTGTCTACCCAAAAACCCAGAATGGAATTCTGAAGTGAGTTCATTTCAAGTGAATCAGTTGCTACCTCCCAGTATCTTTTCCTAAAGTAACTCATCCCTTTGGATTATAAGAGTTTGAGGTCTTGGGCTCCTTAGATCACGTTCCTTGGACCCTAAGGGTTAGTACAGCAGTCAGCTCAAATGCAAAACAATCATGAGCTATCACCAGGAAGAAAAATAAGAAGCTCTTATTTAAACCAGTTTCTTCTGAGCAAAAATGTTACAAAGGTACAAAAGAAGCAAATCTTATCAATGAGGTCAACTCAAATCACTCCCATTTACCACCTGAGAAACATCTCAGCTAAATGATGAACTGGCACAGAAAGACAACAAAATATTCATCAAAGGAAGCACATGTGAGTGCACCTATGTACATTCCTCTGAGTGACTGGGAGCAAGGAGATACAAATTGATTCTTATAATATCTAGGGATTCTTAATCACTGCTGGAGTCCATCTGCCTCCTTATGGAAAGGGGAATCTTAATTCCAGATTAGACAGAGAAGTGTCTTTCATCTACCCACCTGTTTAATCTGGATGATGGGTGGCCACAGCAGTTCCTTAATTATGGGTGGCCACAGCAGTTCCTTCACCAGAAAAAAGGTCTTCTATATGTTTAATTACCCCAGCTTTGGAAGCACTAATAATGTGCTTAAAGCTTAAGGAGCCTATGAAACAGGATCAGACTTTTAAAAAGCCTGAACATCCCATGGTCCCCTCTGTATGTTCGGTCTTGCTGACCACCGTCCCCTCTGGTTTTTAGTTTTGTCTTGAAAAAGGAGGTTTTTCTAGTATAAGCAAAATACTTCCCTTCTTTCTGACACACACCATAAAAAGTTTATTTTATTCCTGGAACAGGACTTGAAAGAGGCACTGTCTTCAGGACAGAAAGCGTTGATTTCAAACCATTTGCAATATTCAGAAAAGCACAACTGGACTCGGTGTTGAAGTCACCTCAATCTCTGGTCAGCAGAGCAGCATTTACATGGGAAGGTGCAGGGGAAAGACATGCAACCTGCATGCATTGCAAATTAAAGCAACAAATGAGTGACAATGGACAAGTGACACGAGTCAAAAGGGTCTAGGAACGAGCAGGAGATCAGAGAGGAAGGGAAAGGATACCAGTGAAGTTCCGCAGTGAAGATGGAAGAAAACAATTCATAATAATAGTACCTGAGAAGATACCATCTCTGTGTAGCTGCTGAGAGTGTCCTCTGAAAACTTAGCAAGCTGCAGCAAGAGAAGAGACCAGTTACTATAATTGTGCTCAGAAATGTGTCATGAGGAACATCCATCCCTCAGTATGTGCCTTCAGAGAGGAGAAATCAGGAGTCCTGCTCTGTGGGAATCGCTGTACCAAGGCAGACCAATAACTCATCAAAGCAATTAAATCTTTAATGGACTCTGTCTTTATCTACTTGTGAAGCACAGGCCAAGTGCTTGGTGCTGTACATCACAGAGGAACACACAGTCATTACCTAAATGTCTACAGAGAAAATAATAGCAATTAGACCCAGAGGAGGCTCTTTTCTGGATGGTTATTTTTAGACAGAAAGAGCCAGGAATGACTGATCTGGTTTTAAGTTATATGGGTCAGTTACAGGAAGGGAGCTGGAAAAGGGGTTGGAAAAGCAGGGGCCTGGAACACGATGGACACAGAGGAATGAGGTGACATGAATGGGATGTGGACAGAAAGTGAAGAGAAATTATAGCAGGGCACTACCAAGGGGCTCTTGGAATTACAGTGAGACATTCACTAACTCAGGATTTGTGCATCCAGCACAAAGGAATTCCACAGAAGACATAATTTTGAAAAAGTTTAGGTCTACTCATAATCAAAAGTGGATATGGCAATTACATTTGTATGTAAATAAAACAGCAGCCCAAATAATAATGCATATATCTGACACTTTAAAAAGGATCAATTTAACAAAGCTGAAAAAAGCCAAGAGAAATTAGTCAGAAATAACTTAAACTGAGAACTATGAAGGATAATTAGGAACTGTTTAAGAACATTTTGTCACAATTTTAAAAAGCAACAATCCCATAGTAAAAATAAGAATCCAGTTGTGAGTGGAAGTGAAAATAGAAATAAAAATTAACATAAAAACTGGGGGAAAGTATACCATTAGTAAATTAAAACCAGTCCACTGCTTGCTAAAGGCAGTGAAATTGCAAACGATATTGCAGGCGAGGCAGACGTGTTAAATAAATATTGCTATTCCCTATTCAGTGATATAATCATACCATATGATAACTATGAAATATTTTCCATTCCAACACTAGCTACTGAAAGTAAATATGTTTAAATTAGCAGGTCTGGACAATGACTGTTACTGCTGATTTTGCACAAGGCTTGAACTATGGATTGAGTCCCAGTTCAATGGAAGTGGTGCCAATGCCCAAAAAGGGAGGGAGAACCATCCAAGCTACCACAGGACCCCAGACAGACTTTGATTTCAGACAGAATAACAGAGCAGCTAATATGAGACTTAATTAAAAGAAAAGAAGTGGAATAATACAATCAGTGCCAAACATCACAAGTGTATGAGCAGCAAATCTCATCAGACTATTGTGATATCTTTTTTTGACAAAATTATAAATTTGACTGATAAAAGTAATGCTTTTGACATAAACCACCTGGTACTTTGACTTGATGATAAATACTTTACTGGTTTTCTAACAAAAATACCAGGGAAATAGGGCCCTTATTAGATATATTAGAAACAGATTATCCCTAAATGGAACAGAAAAATTATTTGCATAAGTATGTGTTACTAACTCAAGCAGGGACAAACTTGGGTATTTTTTTAATAGCCTGAAAAAAACTAAAAAAAAAAAAAATACTGACAGAGACTGTAAACTATATAATAAAGTTTGGGTCAACATAAGGAGAACAGATCACTGTTACAGAACAATATGGACTGCTTGGGTAATAAGCAAAAACATGAATCCCAACAGGCACAAAACTAAGGCTGCATATTTAGGTGCAAAAATGAAGGTTGGACTTACAGGATGAGGACTCTTAGAAAGCAGGAACTGCAGCTGAACAAAGCCTGGCCCTTTAAAGCAATGGCTAAAGAATCTAATATGATCCTTTGTTGCACAAACAAGGGAATATACAATAGAAAGTCCAAATTATTCTGAAATTTAGCACAAGCACAAGTGTAACTGGAATATTTTGTGGGTTTTGAGATTCATAATTCTACAGTGATCCTGAAACACTGGAGAAAGCTAAGAGGAAAGCCAAGAGAAAGATTAAAGGTTTGGAAAATATGCTTACAGTGCCTCAAGGTGCTTAAACTGTTTACTTAACCAGAGATGGTAAAAGGGAATGTGAGCAGTTACAATGGACCAGAATTTTGATTGACACGCTCGTAAATCTAGGAGACAAAAGATGTAAATGTTCCAAGGGCTGAAAATCAGATACTGCAAAAATTCCCACTAAAATAGAACGTCCTTTTTAGCAGTGAAGGTAAATAATGACTGAAACAACATATCAAAGGCAGTACAAATGTTTTCAAACCAGCAGCAAATTCCTTTCTAAAAGAAATGTTTCTGTAGTTCAACTGCAGTAATGCAACTTGAGGCAGGGGCTTGTTTGGGGGGGCACTGGTTTGTGTCCTGCAAACAGTCAGGGGTCACCTATGGCCTGGAAAAATTGGGAATCAAACAGCTTGAACATGATAGGAAGGGCAGAAGAGTGCCACACAGGCCAGGTGTTTGGAGAGGGAAAGAGTCTTACCTGCTACATTTTGAACAGAGAAGAGAGAAGGAAGGAGGGAAATAGAGAGGCCAAGACTGCCTTAGTCAGGGGGTGAATGACCAAGGCACATCCCAACAGCTGTTCTGCAGCAGCCAGGATGGAGGATCATGTTTGAGATGTCACAGAAAGAGATGGCTGGACAGAGAGAGTTGCCTGGACAAGAAAAAGGAGAAGACAGGAAAGAACACAAGGAAGGTGCAAATATGAGTGACAGGGCAAATGGGTACGTTGAGATGAAGTAAGGAAGCCAAGGAGCTCTGGCTTTTCCCAAATAACAAGGTGTGAAGGGAAAAAGGAAGGTTCCAAAGATAGAAAACAAGTGATGCTGAGAGTGGGTAGGAAAGGTAAAGTGGAGAAAACACTGAGAAGAAAAGGTAAAGGTGGAAATGGCACTGAGGGATGTGTCCTCCCTCCCAGGACACAGGAAGCTTCGTCATGTACAACTAGAGGGTAAAGAACAGAAAACACACACCCAGGGCCACAGAGGCCAAGGGAGGACAAGAAGGAGAGAGAAACTCTGCCCAAGTAACAGAAATCAGCACAGAAGACAAACACAGCTCAGTGCACCTCACCAACATTGCCACCATGACAGAACAAGAGACGCCCAACAGGCATCACAGTCCATCAGACCAGCAAACTCCACTCCCCAAATCAGCACAAACACCAGAAACTTCTCTCACTCCCTGACCTACTGCAAATGCCATGCCTGCAAGTGAAACCCCAGAGTCTCAGGAAAGGGCTGTTCAGCCCACACATTAAAACAGGGGATTGCAGAGGATCTCATGTATCCCATTCCTTCCCAGTGGTTAAACATTCCCAAGTTACAGCCACCACTTATTTAGCTCCACGCTGACCCCTCTGACAAATTCTATTTATCTCATAGAAAGCACAAGCCTTGAAGAGTTTCATGGAATCCCCAGAGCTTCCTATCACCTTGGGATATCTGTAGAGAGGTTGAAAAAATAAAAGCATCTGTTCAAGAAGAAGTAATATTGTACTCCAGGGAGAGGGTACAGCTGGTACAACCAAAGATCCAACAAGGTTTTATAATCATGTGGACACATCTTCTGAATTCGTTGTGCTCACTTTATAGAGCCTTTTCATCTCCTGCCCTTGTCTCTGCAACAGTTTGGTGTAGAGAGATACCTACCAGTGAGTTGGATGAGGCCTTGCTCATCTGGGCCAAGACTCTGGCTTCTCCAAAGGCTGTAGCAAGAATCCACAGGACAGGAAAGAGCAACGGAAGGATGGGTAAGACACCATTCACCTGAAAAAACCCAACCTGTAATCACCAACAAACCCAGAGACAACTAGAAGTCAGACCTCTCACATGACATCTTTTCCACCACAGTGAGAAGACAGGTAAAAAAAGCCAGGGCAGGAAGGAAGGAGACCAGAAGAAGTGCCACACAGGGAAAAGCACACCTTACAGAGATGTAATGAAGGAGGCCATGAATAAATCCTGCTTTTCCTGCTGAATTTGGCATAAACTCTAATAAGTTTAAAGGCAAAGGATACCACATGTAATACATATATATATACACACACATATATCTATACATATATGGCAAATGAGATAGCAAAAAATGTAAAGGGCAGTCTAGGAGGAATGGCCAGGGAAGAGCTGTTGTCCTGCTCCACTGAATGCTCCTGGATCCAGCATGCACAGGATGCTGCCAGATGATGAAGCAAGTGGCTAAGAGAGGGAATCAGTCTCAGTGGTGCTCTGGGGAGGTGTAGTAGAGCTCAAAGCTCTCCTTTACCTGTAGCTGAAGAAGAGTGTACTGCCAAGAAGCAATTCCAGGAGCTTTGAAAATGAAGCGCACGGCATTGGTGATCAGGAATCCAGCCTGCAATTCAGAGATGACACTGTCAGCTAACTACTAGTACTTGCAAGGAAGGAGTTTTCAGTGCCTTGTAGCATGCTCAGCCCTGGGAAAGTTTGGAAGATATATCTGATCTGCTGCTGCAGTTCCTGTCTCCTCTCTCATGGTTACAAGGCTCAGCATCTTTGCTTCTCTGAACTGCCCAAGGTACACACAGAGTCAGCTGCATGAGTTAGGGCCTGGCCACAGCTTCCTGTTGATAGCTGCAAATTCTTCACCTTTATTGACAAAACATGGCTATTTTCAAGGACAAGGGCTTGAAATGAGACCTACCAGCACAATGGGGACAGCGTACTTCAGCATCACTGACTGCACAGTGAATCTCTCGTTATCCAGGGCTGTCACAGGCCGTGACAAAGCCATTTCCAGACACCACCTAAAAAATGGATACCAGCTTGAGATTTCAGCAACCAAGACCCTAAGCCTGCACTTCCCTTGGACATAAACCTCCTGATCAGAACGCTGTGCTCACCCCCTATGAGGGATGACTGTCAAAACCCACCTGACGTTATCAATTATTGGGGTCTTCAAGACACGGAAGAGACGATACAGCTGAGGGTTCTGAGGTCCCTTCTTCACTTCTCCCCTTGGGGAGGGTGGGGGTGAGAAAGGTGGAAACAGATCTCCTGGCTCCAGAACTATGTGCTCATCATCCTAGGAGAAAAAGTCAGAGAGCCCAAAGGCTTGTGTTCAGGCACATCTGGTTATTTCATGAAAATTGGCATTTGGAGTGAAAGTTACAATAAGAACCAAAAAGGGTAAATCTCAAGCTTTAAACTTTTTCCAACCTTCTTCAAGCAGCAAAATCTTTCTATAGATATTGTAACCAATTTGTTAATTTACTACTACGCCAGGAACTTTATATTACCTTCTTTTATAATAAATCAGTAGTAAGGAGAAGGTCAAAGCAGACAAACTTTAAATTCTCCACATAAAAAGCAGGATAAAGTACGGGGTTTGTATGTCATATTATCCTACTGGATAGATTCACTCCACTTATATTTAGCAGCACATTACAATTTCCCCTTGACCTGGCAGAGATGGAAATATGGTGCTTTTGTATCACATTAGTGTCTCCCGTCCGTTGGGTTTGGGAGTTCATGGAGGAGATGCAGTCTGGTTAACAAAGCACTGTCCTTGACTGAACTGGAATTTCAAGCTATTTTCAAGGTCAGAAGAAATCAAACACTCCAATAATCTGTACACTGGGAATTAGAGCATTAGCAAGAAAATCCTGGGAAATATACTGTTACAGGCCAGGGAAATAAGACAATCAAGTTACCTTAATCCCTCTCAGAGAAGCAAATGACTCCTGGCCTGGCCTCAAAGCAACAACATCTCCTTCCACCAAGAGGCTCACGGGCAGGTTGACAAGATGCCCATCCCTGTAGGCCCAGTGAAGGGACCAGGATGGGGCATAAGGCATGTGAAGGTCAGGGTACATGGAGTCTGGCCATTTCACCTCTTTGCCAAGTGTATCTGAAAACACAAAGCGTGAAAGAATTAAGCGGTAACAATTCTGGAGGGACCAGTCTCCCAATCATTTACATCCTGTAGTGGCTATAGCTCAGTGCTAAGCACTTTCCCCCAGTGCTAAGCTCAGCCCACTCCCATGATCTTTCATCATCCCTCTTTCTCCTTGATGGCTTTTCCCCTCTTTCTCCACCCAATATTAACAACTAAACAGTCATTTTATAGCCCTAAACACATAGTTATACAATGCAAAAGCTAAAGGCTGTCCTTAAAACTGCCACAACTGAAAAATGAACTGCCCCCTCAGGTGCCAAAGCCCCCGTTGAGACGATGCTCACGCACAGCGATTTATTTCCTTCTGCTCTATGTTGTGGTACAACCCCACGTATTCTTCCCTCATCATCTGCTGCAAGGCAGATATTTTTGTGAGAATCTGAGGATTCGAATTACTCCAAAGCACAGACATAACAGACACCCACCTGGTAACACAGAGCTGGGAAGCACACGGCCACATGACAGCTCAAAATAACTACTTTACAGGACAGGCATGAGTGGAACACAATTCTCACAGCCTGTTTCTGTGCAACATAGGGGAAGGTTAGCAAGCTTAATTAGTAATGTGTGTGATCAGGTTTGGAGAAAAATTCAGTGGGAGGAAAATACAGGTGCAATTGAGACAGGTGAACAAGGCCTCACCATTTATCTTATCAACGACTGTCTGAAGTCTCCTCTCCACCTCTCTGCACTTCAGCCTCTCCTGACGCCCGATCATGAGGAGATCCAGGAGGAGCAGGAGGAAGAGTGCCACTGCATTAACTATCTCAGCACCTTGGCTTCACACAGCAAAACAGAAGAAAGCAGAAAACAGATGAGGTTTGAGTAAATGAGCAGGATCCACTGCCAGACACCCACAGAGATTAACGCACATCTGCCTGCTTGTTTATTCCTACATCTCACAGACTTATGGCTAAAAATGAAATGCAGGGGAGCCATGGTCACACTTCTTATTTAGAAAAATGACACCAGAGAGGTCTGAAAGGACTCATCTCAATTAAAAATCCTTTACAAATATGGTCAAGGCATGCTATGGTGCATGTGACAGCACAGTAACTTCTCCCATGAGCCAATAACTTCTCCAGTTTTAAAATCCTTCCTAACAATGATAATGCCTTAGGATTTTTAAAGATCTAGGAATGCCATAGAAAAAAAATTTCAGTCTCTCCACAGGACATTCCCTGGGTCTATTAGAAGTAGAATTAAGTTGGCTGAAGTTTGGAGAAAGGGCCTGATAGGGACAGAATTACCAGTGTGAGTATGTTGATGTCTAGATTTCTGGAGAGAATCAACCACACACAGTATCAAGATGATATAAAACTACCACCTTGGTTCAGTTAAGCAGCACAGGATGCTTTGCTCACCTCCCCTGTGGCTGGCTCCCATAGCAGCACAGCAGCAGCAGCACTGCCAGCAGCATCAGAGATGCACCAGGCCAGTGGAAACAGGAGCAGCGGTTACCATGGTACAGAAAACTGCTCCTCCACACCTCCTACAAAAGGAGAGCAGCAGACAGTCAGCATTCATGGAACACACAGCCAGACGTCTGAAAAAGCAGCAGCTGATGCTCCAGGGTGAACACAACTTTGTCAAACCCCTGAACGTGACACAGAACACCCTGATCAGTTGTGTGAATCCTACAGCACCTATGGATGCTCAGCTGGTGTGTCTGGGTGAACACTCCTGCTTTACTCTTGCCTGGAAGAATGAAAAAACCTCTGTGCCAGGCTGTGCCCATGTCCCTGACCGACCCAGGAACACTTTTAACATTTAAGTACTGTGCATAAACACCAGCACTTTGTATTCAACACACACACCAGACAAACACAGTGGACAAGGAAGACTGTTGAGCTTCACAGCTCTTTATCTCCACCTGAGATGGACACTGCCCTTAGAGGTTCTTGAAGTCCTTAAGTCCTTTACAGGTGAAGCTAAAGCTCTGGCATCCAGGAGAAAAGTGCTGACAGAAACACACACTTAGGTAGATTTCTTGCTTTGTTCCCAAGGACTTTAGCAGTTCTACACCCAGACACTCTGTAGCAGCACTCTGGGATGGAAAACAGCCAACTTCTGTTTAATCCTCAGCTTTACTTTGAGAAGGGGAGGCTGAGTGCCCAACCTTGGTGCCCTCACCTTCCATGAAGTCACTTTTTTCCGTTCCTTCTGATGCCCCTCCAGCAGTGCTGACAACTGGTCTCTCAGGATCGTGAGGGCCTTCTTTGTGGTAAGGCCCAAACTTGAGGTCATCTCATCCTGAGGTGCCAGAAAAACAAACTGGTTAGTGCTTCCCTATATTCTTTTTAGGCTTTTTTCCTGGTGGCTGAATGAGTGGCCGACCATGAATGCCCTGCACTCATCACCACCTGATTCTCCATTTTCCTGAAATCATCTCCCTTCCTGTGAACTTTAGACTGCTGGCTGGAATTAGAGCACTTAGATGGTATCAGGTAAACAAACCGGTCCTGACTGTGCTGATAAATACCTTATCAAAGCACAATACCAAGTCATTTCAGTGAAACAAGATCTAATCAGCAGAGGCTCAGGACAATACAAAGGGAGGCTGCTCAGCTCCGAATTTATGCAGGCTTGAACCGGTATCAGCTTGTAGAGACAACAGAACACAGACAGTTATGGTAGAATTTGAATGATACAGGATGGATTTTGGTAACAGTAAAAACAACATAGAAGTGGGATATTTGCAATTCTAATCAAGAATGGTCCAATTTCCACAACTGCTCGCTATGGAGTTTTGCTTATGAATCCTGTCTCTGTGGCCACTTCGATGCAGAACCTCCTGGATTTAAGTGCTAGTCTGGGGATCAGTTCAGAGTAGATGTGACTCCACCACCAACTCCTTTTACGAGAGAAAGCACTAAGGTTTTGAGTGCTGAGCTGTACAGACATGCAAGGGAGGCATTTGGACTTGCAGGAAGCACACAAGGTTCACAGCACTGCTCACTCAGGAAACAGGCAGGATTCCCAAAGGACACAACCCAGGAGTGTGCCATATGGAAAGCACTGCCAAAAGATGCTGGTAACAAGAAAGTGGAGGTTGCATTTCTTGGGTCAGGAACACAAGCACCTTCCTTTCTTTCAAATCACAGAGATTGCTGTGAGGTACTGTGGGCACTGGGTCACTGACAGTGAATCAACAGGGAAGAGCAGGCAGGTGTCTGTGAGAGGGCAGGGAACTGTCAGGAAAAGTTCTCATGTGCATTTCATGGTTTAACACAAACACCTTGAGCATGTACAGCACACAGGATGTCCTGCGTGTTAGAAATGTTCAGGTGTGTCGTGCTGTGTGCAGAGCACAGAACTACTGAACACAAACAGGCAGGAAGCTTGTCCCTCTGGTCCCCACCAGTGTGACACAGCCCAGAGCTCTGGCAGGAGCTGCAGGTCTTCCTGCTCTTGAACCTCTTCCCAGCCCTGCCAAACCCACCGTGGTCTCAAACTGCAGCACTGCTGCTCCTTGGGAGCTGCTTGCACACACCCAGCTCTGCAAGTGCAGCTTGGCTCTGATCTTTTCTTCCTGTTCCTTAACTGTGTGGTTTCAGGATGAACATTTACTGGAAACTAATCTTGGACTTCAGACTTATTTGCATAGATGGCCCAATCCAAAACTGTAACACAAGCGTCAAGGAATAGCAGATAAATTCTCTTTAAAATACTGTCTACCACACACACACACATACACTCCTCACCTACCAGGGACATCTTGAAACAGCAAATTCTGGCCAGGCAGAGTCCAGCAATGCTGCTTTAGCTGCACTTTTACAGAACTAAAAATAATCCTGCTGTAGTTTTCATTCTCTGTGTCAGTTTTAGGAATAGAGGAAGCAGTTCTGTGTTGTTCTTGGAAGCAGCCCAGGTAACATCAGCCCAGGACTAAACATAGGAGTCTCTCAAAGACTCCCAGAGGAGAAGATGGCAGGCACTGGAGCTGGCAACAGACCTGCTGCTGCACCACAGAGTGCTGCAAACAGGAGTGTCTGAGAGCAACACGGAGCAAGGGACAATCAGGTTTCTCTCTCATCTGGCTGCTGCCTGTGTGGAGCACAGCAAAGCACCCACAAAAATTCTCATCCTCTCCAACACAGGGAGAGCAGACAGACAAATAAAAGACACAGAATGAAAGGCAGCAATAATAAGAGGGACTTTGATTGAAAAACAAAGTCTGCTTAGACACTGAGCAGATTCCAATGGATACATCAGAAGCTACAGAAGAAATGAGAGGAAAGCTGCACTTAATGCCAACATCTTGTACAGTCACACAGTGCCTGGAAAGAGAAACTGCCACAGCACAGCAGGCAGCGAGCACAGAAAGGCAGCAAATCCAGAGGTAATCAAAAAGGTTCCTGAAATACTTGCACACCTGCTCCAGCCTTTACACAGGAATTACTGGTTTGCTGTAGTATCAGTCAAGGCAAGGGCAGCCTCAAAGGAAGGTGGCTGTAGCAGGTGAGGAAGGACAAGCACAAAGTGTCAGGGCTGGGAAGGAGGAACGGCAGGAAGGGCAGGGACTGTCAAACACCCATCCTGACACTTAAAACATGGAGTATTTGGCAAAGCAGGCAGAGCCAGTAAGCAAACACTGCAATAGGGTGAGTGAGGGCTGACTGGAGGGGACTTGGATCACCTGCTGCACCAGGGAAAGAGCCTGGACCCAAAATGAAAGGGACAGGAGAGAAGAGCCCCCCCCAGCTCCTGGCAAGGGGTAGCTCTAGGTTTTGGAAACAAGAGCTGCCCTGCTAAGTCATCAACTGCTAATGAGGCATTTTTCAAATGCCCTAAAGTAAACCTTTGTATATGGCAAACCGAGGCACTCTTAAGCTGTCCCAGAGGGATCTTCCCAGCCTTTCATCAGCTGCAAGTGCTCTTCCTGCCACAAAACAGGAGGTGAGCACCCCAGGGTGAAGAAGCCATTCACAGGAGGTGTCAGTTCATTAATGAAAACCTCAACATTCACATCTTTGCTTTGGAAACCTACATTCAAAGAGAAATCCGCTCATTTTCCGGTCAAAACAAAAACAGCAAGACACCTTCCCACCCAGCTGCCTTAGCATAGGGTTTCCTCTGAAGAACAAAAAAGAAAAAGCAGACAGTAAATTCCAGGTTACAGTGAAAGCAAACCCCTGATGGGTATCAGGAGACGTTTTAAAAGGCTGTACTTTCCTTTTGCCCGTGCCTAAAGGCAAAAAGTCCTAAGGAGAAAATGAGCAGTTGCTTCCTCCTTTGCCTCAGGAGGCTGGAGAGCACACGAGCCTCTAAGTGCACTTAGGGCTCCTCTGGTGCTGACCCCTGCCCTGGCCACCACAGCCTCAGTGTGGGAGGCACTGCTGAAGCCAAGTAAACACGGGATGATTGCAAGCCTCTGCCTCGTGGATGACAGAACAGCTCTCAAGGGCTGTGATCTGCGGGATGGCTGTTAAGGGAAAACAGTGCAGGAGATATTTTGTTGTGCGTGTGATTTTATTTTCTAGAGGCAATGAATGTGTTGAGGTGTGGACTGGAGGGGAGCACGAAAAGATGTGTGAATTTCTCCACTCTTAGTAAACATCCTACATGTTAAATTACTGCTTGGTTTGCCTGCAACCATCAGGGAATGGGACCCTGAGATAGATCCAGCAAATGCCCAGGTTTAGGAGCTGGTTTGGCTCTTCAGGAAGGAAACAAGAAGCAGCTCAGAGGTAGGAGACAGGGAGCCACAGAGTCTGTAGACTTTTCTTTGCCTTCTCCTTTCAGTTGACCCTCCATAGTTTGACAGGGGTAAATTAGTTGGCAAATACCCAGGAGCTTGTTTAAACCTGTAGCCTTGCCTGGCTCATGGCAAATAGGTTTCCTTTGTCTTCCTCAGGGGTTGAAGGAGCATTTTCAGGTTGATAAGCAGGAACAGAGAGGTTACTTTCTGATTTTTCCTCCCACAAGGAGTGAAGTTGTTCCCGAGCAACACCACCTACCCACGTCTGCTTCCCGCAGCCCACCTTCATCCTCACACAACATCAACACCCATCTCTCTCCCTAAAATTCACATCCTGTTCTTTTACACATAGAACCATTTAAGATTACCTTGAAAGTTTATCAGCTATCTCACAGTCTTTGCTATCCAATTAAAGACAGAGGTCTTGCACCTTCCTTCCAGAGGAACAGACTAGCGGAGTTAGAATGTGTAAAGGTGAGAAATGGACACAAAATATTAGTCTAATTAAGTCCTCTTATATTTTCCTACAGCCACTACACATCCATAGTAGCATATTTGTTTGTTGTACCAGTAAATGTTGATATAAAATGTACCAAGCATTTTGTAAAATAACACTGGAACACAAATATATACTTTGCTCTACAGAGCAAAGTGGGTTGAATCATCCTCCATCCTCTGTGGATTTCAGTCTCTTCAGAATAAGGGCTTCTCAACAAGATTGTTATACACTTGAGTGTAACTGCCTTTACAAAGACTGTTTAAACAAATAAGTGAATAGAAAACAAAATATTTGCTAGAAGCTTCAATTTTCGTAGACTGCAGATCCACCCCTCTGATTCAGAGTGGTGGAAAACTTCTACAAGGCAGCTATCAGACTGTTTCCCCCTTTTCAGGCTGCACCCACTAGGCCCCTTTTATAACACCTCTACTCAACTGCTTTTCAGATTTCAACAGCTGGAGGTGGAAAACTGGGCAGCAGAATGTTCCTCCTTTTTCCAAGAGCTGTTTTGCCTTCCTTAGCAGGGAAAGAAGGCAGTCTTTAATTTAACAATGACACTTTGCAGGCTATTAATCTAGGTCAGTGATTACACCTCCTGAAATGTAAGCATTATTCATAGGTTCAAAAACACATGAGAAAGAGTAACTCCACTAAATAGATTTGCATTTAGTACTGTAAGTCAGATTCTTGCTTAGGATAAGGCACAATATGACACATTGGGTGTTTTTTTTGGTCTGATCAGAGAGGATGGCAGACACCATATACACGACAGCACACAATTTCTTGGGATAGCATTTCTTACAGCAGGCTACTGTTAGAGAGGGATTTATTCTTGTTCTAAAGCAAACTACACATCAGGATGGTACAGCTCTGTACACCTGTAGCTGCTGAGTTAAAGCTGGGACTGCCTGAAATGGCACATCCCTGCTCCAGAGTGACACAGATGTAGCCAGCAAAGCAAATGTATCTGTTTCCCTTTATTACCAAAATCCTTGATCCCAATAACGTGTCCGGTCTTTCTTGGTGCTCTCCTGGTTAGTTTTCCCAAGAGATCTTATCCCTGATTCCAAGCAAAAGTGCTTCTCTAGTGACCTGGGCTACATGAAGCATCTCCCCTGACACATTCCCACTCTACAGGATAAACTTTTAAGACTCTGGACTGTCAGGACAGCTGGGTTCTCTAACTCCTTCTGCCACCAGTTTCTGCACCACAGTGGAAAAATCAGATACTCCTCTGTGCCTTAGTTTCTCATCCCTATAATGGGACTACCTACTCCCCACCAACTGCAGTCATGGTGAAGATTATATTGACCAACCCACCTGAACACTACTGGAAAGCACAGGAAAAAAAGAAATATATGTTGATATCTGCACAATTCAGGCAGCTCCACCAAGCAGACCATGGCTCTGTGGGGACCACTGCCTTTAAAACTGGACATACTGGGAAAGGCACCAGAAGGCACAAGGAACACAGCTATTAAACTTGGTTTAAATGCACCTCACACGAGCTTGGCAGCCACAGCTTAGCTGTTGGTGGTCTCAAATCAAATGAAACAAGCAAAGTCTTCAGCACAGCAGTGCCCAAGTTAATGGACAGAGGAACAGTCAGCAACTGCCTCCTTCCTCCCTCTGCAGCCCCAGGATGAAAGGCAGCCCAGACCTCCCGCGGCCCCAGGACAAAGGAGCCCCCACAGCTGGTAACTGGGTGACTGTGGGGGCTCCAGTGTGGATGCTTTGAGGCTCCCCACAGCTCATGGCTCACAGGGCCTGCAGACTCACTCTGCAAAGAGGCACAGCTGCAGGAGCACAGATCCCTGAGATCTGGCCAAAGCAACACTTACCACCCGCCTGAATCACCCCTGCACTTCGCTGTGAACAGAGTCCATTCTAACCCAGACAACAACATTCACCGTTTACGGTCTCCATAAAGCACAGAGTAAGATGCCAACAGGCACAATCAACCTTTCTACACAGGTAATGCAAAGCCCAGCACTTTGCTTCTCCCCCGCAGCAGCTCCATAGAAGAGAAAGAGGCAGCTGCTCCCCAGGAAACAGCCCAGTTTGGAACTGTACATTCCTTGGTCTGTCCCTTTGGTCCTGTTTGCAGCAGCAAATCCCCAGCCATAGTTACTTGCCCCACCAGGCTGCTGGCAGGATGAGGCAGGGTTTATGCAGTGCTTTGAAGTTCACCTGTACTGCACAATTATTAAGCTTTAATTACTGTAATTTAGCCAGTTGCATTATTCCTCCGAGTTCGGAGAGCAGTTAGGGGTCTGTATTTATCCTGGCTTCAACATGCAGTGTAGTGCTTTATGCCAGTGCAGAGCTTACTCCAGGGAATGCTAATCCCCTCCCAGAGGCCAGCAGTGCTCAGAAATCCACACAACTTCAGCACATCTTTCATCCCCTCGTTAGCTTCCTTTCTATCCCTACTCCTTCAGCTGAAGACTTTGGGGACTAAAACTATGATACAGCCAGGAAGGTGCACAGCGAGACTTGCTTCACAGGGATAAGGAGGTCCAACAGCTACAGATCAAAGCCCAGAGAAGAAACAGGCAAATTTAAGTCATGAGGCAGAGGGGCAGCAAAGCAGGAGTCCGCAGCTAAAATCCCGTCTGGACCCTCCTGTTGGTTCTGGGGTTAAATTTGCAGTTTAAAACAGTTTCTTTCCCCGCCACCTCCAACAAGAAGCTATTCCCCAGCTAAAATCATCACTCACTGCTTCATGTCCTGCCATAACCTCCTTCCCCAAAACCTCCAAGCCCTTCATGCACCATCACATCAGGTAGGATGCAGGCTGGGGAGGGAGGCAGGGAAAGCCATTTTGAAATTAAATGTTAAGGGAGAGGAACTTACTTTGCGACATTTGCCTTGGTTGGGGATCCAGAGATCGGCCTGTTTGAAGAGCATCTGGGCTAAATTCCTGCACCACTTCCCCAGCAACTTGCACTGCTGCTGCTCTCCAAAAATGAGAGAGCAAAGAGGGAGAGAGAGCAAGACTGTGCAGAGCCCAGCGCTGCAGAGAATGAGACAGAAGCAGCAGAGTGAAGCACCAGTCTGCTGATTAATTCAGCCTGTTTCCAGTCACGCTGCAGATCCAGCAAGGAGGCGGTGGATGGGGGTGGGGGATGAGGGATAGAAACGAGGGGGGGGAAGCAGAGAGAGAAGAAAGTTTGCCCAGGATAGCACCAGATGTCTGTAAGAACGGTTCATTCACAGAGGGAGCCGACAGCAGTCAGAATCCCCAGGTTCCCTGCCTGCAGAGCTGCATATGCATGCACAGTAAGGGCTGATGCTGACAGAGAGGGGTCTGTGGAAAAGCAGATGGCAAATTAGGTAGGACAAAGTGCTATAAAATATATCACAGGGGAGAGAACACCTGAGCAGGCAAGGAAAAAGACTAGATTGAGATGGAGTGAATACTAACTCCCCACAGATGACTCCACAGCTCTGGATTCAAGCTCAGTTCAAAAATATGAGCATTTGCTGTTTAAACAAGTTGAGATAGTTACAAGTCCAGTCTGAAGGATTCCCTCCCTCTTCTCTTGTGGATAGACAATGCAGCAAAAGCCCCTCTGAGCATCCAATATTCATACATCCTGAGCCACATAATCTCAACTAAAAGGTGCATGTAAATTCTTCATAGCCTTGCCTGGGGCTCCCTGTTTACCTGGGCATGGCAGATAGAAGGCAAAGGATTAGTGAAGACAGGGAAGGGCTGGGTACAACAGCAGGTAATGGGATAAAAAGGTGAAGAAGGAATGAGCCTTCTCTCTCCTTCTCATCTTTTACAGGAATGTTTTCTTCTCGTTGTTGGAGGGATGCACCTTTATAAGTGAGGTTTTATATAGCTCCCACTTCAGTGCTGTCCTAATTCTGTCTGGGGCTTCCTGGTTCTACAGAGCAATCACTAAAACAAGTACTTTCATTCCGCACAGAAAGGGGTAAAGAACTGGCCCAGCCAAGCACCACATCAATAGCGTGCCAAGGATCAGCTGGCTGGTACCAAATGGAACAGGCACTGCAAAGGCTGCCGGGCTCAGCACACCCTGCAGCTCTGAAGACCATGGACAGGTGTCAGGACTCACCTGCCCTCCCTGGACAAGCTCTTCACTTCCTGTCCAGCCCCGAGATTCAAATGCCTCAATAGGCACAGCCCATATTCTGTGTTTAAAACCAGAACTGCGGAGATCAAGAGGCCTCAGTATTTATTTACAATAAACCCCACGCAGGGCCTCGTTATCACCTGTGTGCTGGCACTGAGTTACACATCAGTGTGTAACCTCACAAAGCTCTTGGAGCCAAAGCTGAAAGGAAGCAGACACTTTGTATTTATTTAATGTAACTTCAGGAGAAAGCAGGGGGAGAAGGAGCCAAGACAACCTTCATCCTTCTGCAGGGCATTTTGTTTCCTAGACAACGATTTTAAACCACAGAGAGGAACAAAATGTCCTAATGGCACAATTTTTCCTTCCTTCCTTCCTCCTTTCCTGCTAAGAAAGTACTCACCTACTCTCTTCAACACAAAGAAAAAAGGAGAGGAAAAAAAGAAGAGATTAACAACAAGATGAGGTAAGAGTGGACAAACCCTCACACAACATACATGTAACACCCTCCCTTTATGACATTGCTTCCTATTGTTTTCCGTGGCTCTGCACCTGCTGGAGACTTGGATGAAAATGAGTAAAACAATTTGCCTGTGACAGTGCAATACCAGGAACAACCCTTGTGCTGCCTGCAATTAAGAGATCCCAACACAACTTTCTCCTATCTCAAAACCTCCAGCTTTGGTCATGAACACAAATGGAAATGGATCAAATTGCCTCTTCTCATTTACCCCACTGCTGAGAGACCTTGTTCTAAAGTGTTTTGTGTAGGGCAGTAATTTGCACTATGTAGTTTCCTTCTGACATCAACTGGTATCAGAAATTGCATCTGGATATGCATTTGTGCATTAAATAACACAATGGAAGAGCAAAAAATGAAAACTTGTGATCTGAAGATAAAACTGGGATTTGAAATAGAAGGCTGAGTATAAAGGCAGGGACTGACCTACACAAAAACTGCAGCACAGACGAGAGACACCTGTGGAAAAAGGATCAGTTTGTGAAAAAGCCCTTGGAAAAAGAGGTTTTAGAGAAAAGCAGGGAATAAAAACAGAGATACAGTCACTGGCAGGATGAGAAGAGGCAAAGAACTTGGGCTACTTTTCAGTCTAAAGGTAGGACTGCAGTTCTTGTTAAGCAACCTGGAACAAGGACCAACAGTGCTGGAGCTGGAGTGACGTGGAGCACAGCACAGGCTCCCTGGATACAGTTCCAGGCTCTGGCCAGGAGGCACAGTGCTGTATCCAGGCTGCAGCAATTACACTAGGATAATACAGCTCAGTTGTTATTGGTAACTGTGGAATGGATGATGTCAATAATTTTTAATAGTTGTGTTGCTGCAAGCACAGCCTACGTCTAACACAATGCAAACTCAGGATCCTCCCTGTCCTGTGGCCATCACTGCTGCTCTCTGTGTCCATATATGCTGAGTGGTCTTGGAGCAGAGATTCTGGCACCTTTCACAAGGATTAAATTCACTTCAGAAACACACAGAAAATTAAAAAGTCAGGAGAAGAGGAGAAAGAACAAGATAGCAGCACATTTAATTTAAGAAGGTTTTGGCACTGCTCCTAAAATACTCTCTGCCTTTCTCTGCGGTGTCTGGCTTCTGGCAAAAACTGGAAGGCAGCTTACATTACACCTGACAGACTGATCTCAGCCATCTCTGACAATGGAACTTATTAGCTGACTGGGGCCAGAGGACAAGTCTCTCATCTGAGTGACAGATGCCTGTGCTGCAGCAGTGCTCCAAGCACGTCTCCTGCTCCAGGAGTGCTAACTCTTCATCATACACATATATTAGAGCAAAGAGATTGCTTTCTACTCAATTTGGGACTGATGGTTTCACTTGGGTTCATTTTATTTTTAGCATTTTAAAATAAACCTAGCACATCAGATTTACTACTGAGGTTACAAAGCAGGTTAATTTGTTCCCTTATCAGTATATATGTGTCCAAGTTCTTCACTTTGGAAAAGAAGATGGATTCTTTCTTAAAGGGGATGAAACAAGGATCTGCAGTATTAAAAAAAAAAAGGAGCAAACTCCTTAACCCCAAATAATATAGAATCATAGAATCACAGAATGATTGGGGTTGGAAGGGACCTTAAAGACCATCTAGCTCCAACTCCCTGCCACGGGATTGCTAACAAAACAAGTTGTAAAAGCAAGTGGATGTATCTGTGGGTTTTTTAAAATCCTACTGAGAAGAGCGTGGTGATCTCCTGCCTTCCCTTTTAATTCCCATTCAGAAAGGAGGGAGAAAAAACTTCAGGAAGTCGGGAGGGGAGGTTAGGATTTGAGAACACCATGATTACCCCTGTAATCTCCTTGTCAGGACACTTTCCAACAGGCCTTTCAAAGGTCTGTTACAACACTGTCCACGCTGCTGCCTGCCCAGCAATTTGATCTGCTCTTCCTGCCTTGTGCAGTGGAGAATGTCAGAAGGGAAAGGCAGAGATGAACTAAAAATAGTGACCTACAGTGACGGTGTCCCCGCTGTGACCTGCTCGCTTTGGTGCTCTCAGATCCTGCCCAGAACACACCCCTGCGTCATCCCTTTAAATGATCAATACCAGATCAGCCCATGATGTCACTAACAAGAGAATAATTAGATAACCATCCTCACTGGAATGTTACCTCCGTAGTAATACAGCAATTTGATACAAAAAATAACATGGTTCAAACACATCCTCTGAGCACAGCAGCACCAAGAGGGTCGGGCAGGAGTGAGCCCAGGCCTTCCTGGTCCAGCACAGCTCAGAACAGACACCCAGCAAAGAAGCAGTGAGTGGGCAAGTGCTAGGGCTGATGTGGAAAACTGACCTTTTAAAGTCACTGACACTGCTGTAGTACCTTTTAGAGCTGATCTGAGTTTAGGTGATTCCCTAACAGGTACTTTGCACTAATGAACAAAACACTCCTTGCTGCTGGAAGCACCATGAACAAAACAGCAAGGAAGGGATGCAAAGAGAAAAACAGACACCCACCAGACTAAAGCTCATGGTGTGGTGGGGAGAGGGACACCAAAGAGGAAAACCAAGAATGTTCTCTCACCAGAGCCAGCTGAGACCCCAAGTTACCACCAGAAAAACTGGACTCAGATAATTTTATTGCCTCAGTTTATTTAAAAAATCTTCTCAGTGAATTCAGCCCCTCAAATAAAGCTGAGCTGAGTGTCCAGGGGAATGGAGCCCTACCTTAGAGCTCAAGAAAAACACAGCAGGTGTGACAGTGCACACCTCACCTGTGTTGTTCCACTGTGGTGCCTCAGTCCCAGCCCGCAAAGCATTCCCCTGCTGATACAAGCACGTCCATCCTGAGGGATGTGAAGGTGACAGAACTCTCAGCTTTGATACTAACCACAGATTAATATGAAACCATACAACAACAATGCCAAATGGGGAGTCTTGACCCAAAATAATGAAAGACAATTGAAAGGACTCTCATTTAAGTCAGGTGTGACCCTTATAAGGAAACCTACCTGACACTTCTCCTTGAGGTCCATGGCTGTGCAGTTCTGTGAGCATGTCCAGCAGAAGGGGGACTGCTCCTCAGGGGAGAATGTCTCCTACGCAGAGAAGAGCTTGGCTACATTTACCACATCACCATCTGTGGAAACAGAAGGGGAAGCAGTCAGTCAGTCTCCCACATCGCTTCCTTTAGGACAAGAAAGTGATGGAATTCACAACATTCAAATTACAGGATTGGTCTCTAAAAGAAGGAAAACCAGGGAGCTGAAAGTGCTTCTAATAGTACATCAACCCACCCCATACTCAGAACTGACCTCAGTAGCTTAAGTCTGCCCAAAAACTGGCATCAGTTTTTGTGTATCAGTAGGTGAATTAAGATCCCTGCAGTGCAGAGTAAGAGTATTATTGCAGCCTTGACAGGCTTTTGGGCAAGCCTCCAAGAAAAAAGCTGACAGAGCACTGGATTCCACCAGGTGTTGGAGCATGCTGTCACCCAGGGCTATTTGTCTTGTTACCCTTATCTACCAGGAGCTTTGTCCAGCTAATCTCTAATGGAGCCAGCAGTAATGATACTCCCCTTTGCTGAACAACACATCCAACCTTTGACAAGGCTCTGCTGCTGGGCTGAGCATGGATCTGACCACCAATGAGTAGGCTAGAAATCCTAAAAACAACTCCAGATGACCAGGGATCTTTTCTCTTTGTAGCAAAACTGAGACTCTAACAGAACTGAGGTAGGAAGCAGCTCTGGAATTTCTTCTAGCTCATCCTCCCCTTTATCTCCCATAGCACAAATTTGTTCTCCTGCCACATATGCAAAATGCCTTTTCTGGTCAAAACAAATGACCTGTGTGCATTGCTCTAGAGGATTCTCTTGCATATAAACACAATGAGAGATTGTAAGATTATGCTATGATTGTCTTGGGAAAGTCTTTTTATTGGTTAGCAACTCCTGGTTCTAATTTTTAATATCATACACAAGGTCAGGGCTTGGACACAGACTTCTCCTAAATCCAAACAAACAAGGAAGCAGCTAGATATGCAAATCAACCCAAACCACCCACACATCTCCCAGATACAACAGGATTGGCCTTTGCCAGCTGGGATTTACTACCCTGGTCTATACCACACAGTCTTCTTCAAAGAAGGCAGATTCTGCAGATCCCATCCTTGTGGCAGTCACAGCACAGCTCTCCACAATTCCACATCATTTC